GACCCCACGCTGCTTTATCCTTTACAATTATGCAGTGCAGTCCAACCACTGCATCATGCAATTTAATCAGTTTAGGGTACGGTATTGCCTAGGAGTGCGATGCAGTTGCACACACTGCAGTTCCATGACGCCTATTGAGCCGTTCGCTACTCTTCTGTTCTCCCGTAGACTCTAGTCACCGCCGCTGGCAGACATGAAACGCTGGCAAACGCTAGATCGTTGTCTATCCTTTCCTTGTCACTGCCACTGCCGAACGCGGGAAATGCTAGCGTACACTGCAGCAAAGTATGAACGCAGCCTCATGGTTTTCAGCTACTCTTTATGACGCCTCTCGGCACTTCTGTCCCATAATTGCTGCACGAATCATGGGATTCATGAAATCTGTGGTAAGGACAACCCGCTAACTTTAGAGAGAACTGGGCGGTGAGCACGACCTTTTCTCTAATACAATCCCCTCGGCACATCCCGACGACATTTATGGTTTTTCTTAAGGGGCATTTGCATTTGTAGACAGTTTCTATCAGGGACAGTTTGCAGGTGGGCACTGTGCCTTGCGAAACGTAAGAAGCCACCGATGAGAAAATCATATCCTAAGGCCGTATGCGACCCCCTACACCCCAGCGACCAAGTGCGACCCCTACCCCTTCAAAACTTCCCGTCGTACGACGCACATTAAGGAGACTTCCTCACTGAAGAACACTGACCTGAAGATGGGCGGGTTTTGCAGACTGGCTTTCAATTAGCCCTAGGATTTTGAGCGAAAATTCACTGCGTGGCACATTCTACAAAGTACTTATCTTCTCCGTTTTCTTCATAAGCAGGAAGGACACCATTACAGGCACAGTTTTCATATAGAATTAACACGAAACAATCCAATCAATAAAAAATTTATAGACTTCAACTTATGTTTATTTAATATAATAACTTATCACAATCAATTTGGAGAGAACAAGAATTCAGGACAAGTTAATTAAGTGGTTTACAAAGGCAAATGTTCTCATTTTTCATGTTTTGTTCCATATTAAAGGGCACTTAGAACTCCAAAAAAAGGGTGACTGATTAATTTGTGTCAGACACTGGATTACTGGGATGGCGTTATCACGACAATGAGAGGTGAGCAATCCCAAAACATCAACTAATATCGCAAACGGAACAAAAATCATAACACATTGTACCCTAAGAGTCTATGATGACGACAACGACACAATGACTAAGTGTATAGGTACTATCAAAGTACAAACGAGTCTACAATACGTGTCACTGACGCGAGCGGACGCGGTGCGGTTAACCGTGCCGCGATCGCGCGCGCAATTGTCATGTACTGCGGTCGTGAGTCGATATATGACGATAACTGTAGCAAGGCGATTTAGGACACGAGATTACGGACTTTGGTCTGCGGAACAGTACTGTCGCATATTAATAGCTGAAATTCGCCACTTGCGTGGGCAATATCTGTGACATCGGTCATTACGTATGGAATGAACTGTAACGACAACCTACATCTCCAGTAGATAGATTATCGAACAGTTTTAAAACAAGATTGTCAGCGCGGCTAAATAACGGGAAATGGACTAGTATCGAGGAACAAACACGAAAAACAGCCAGAAATACGCTAGAGACGCATAGAGCAGTATTACCAGCTCGATGTCAGCGAACAGACGAGTCGATGGCAATTGCGATCGTAACTCGTCGATGGCGGCAAGATCAAGTAAGGCAGAATCCAGCTGACGTGCTGGATCATCACAACTCTCGCAACCTGAAGCAAAAAATGATTAAAATCGGATTAAATAGCGAGTTTTACCTCCCAGGATCCTGTTTCTTGCCACGTGCAAAGTTATGGGTACGCAGCTGCAGTAGCGTGCCACTTTCTCCGCTTAAAATTACACAGGGAACGGGGCTGATTGATATTGAACCTCGGTGTCGCCTCCTCCCGCCCACGCTGCCGCACGACCGGCCACACGCCTAACCATTGCCAAACGCGCTACCTGTCTGCGCTCTCTCGCTTCTGATTGTTATTCGTCCGACTGTAATAACGCACGGGCTGCACTTCGAGGATGGCACGGGCGGAGGTGGCACGTGAGTATTATTATTAT